GAGGCAAACCGATCACTGAATGGCTAGCTTGAAGGCCACGTATTATCCGCTTTGAGAACAAAATGGCAGACACAAATATAATTTTGTCATATTGTCAGGTTCGACAATTTTTATGAGCTCAAAGCCTGAAAGAGAACAGTAGCCACCGTGGACGTACAAAGAAGCCATTCCCTGGAGAACAGACACACACAGCCCAGGGCAGGATTTGCTAAGTATCGGTGGACATTAGACGGCTGACGTCCAGGGCAGTCACAACATCTATGTAGTTGGCTACTGGGCAAGCTGGTGATGTGTATTCCAGGAACAGGGAAGGGTCACATGCATCCTGGGGACATTACCCGTGAGCAGGCGAGGGGATGGGCAACACGTTGTAGGCACTTGAGGCTCTGACAGGGACAAGCACCGGCCATGCCACTTGAGCCAAAGCCACCTGGGCAAATAGTGAATCTACACCACGTGTGTCACCACAGTCGCTGCACTGAGATGAGGCGCTTTGCTTTGGGAAGCGGCTATAAGCTCAAGATAGCTGGCCCTGAGCCAAGGAGATTTGCAGCATGAACAGGAGAAATTCCACCTTATCAGGGGACCTGGGGAGGCAGTGCAGTTGAGAGGCAAAAAGTCAATGGGCTAGGGGCAGGGGTGGACGCACAGGTCAGGGGGAGCTCTAGAGGAGGGGCCTGGAGCTGCTGCCCAGCCCCAGACAGATCTCTGCAGATCAGGTTGTCCAGTTACAAAATGCCACGGACACCCCTGCCCTGGTCATTCACACTGGCATCGTGGAGCATGCTATGTTACAGCTGAAAAACGTGCCCTTTTCTCTCTGTTCCTGCTCTAATCCCTGCTCAATGGGGGAGAAAAGAAAGATGTTCCATCTGCCCTGGCAATGAACCCATGCCCCATTCCTGGGCTGTCAAGACTCTTCCTTTTCCCTTCCCAGGGCACCATGAGTGCAGAATGCATTTGTGTCTGGGGGCTGCACAGAGAGGTCACAGTGTGCAAGTGGTGAAAGGCAGCACTTAGACCCCCAGATGGTAGGCCTCATCCAGGCAGGTCACCAGCGCAGCCAGTCTCCGGGGCCGGGGGACGCTGCACACACCTATAGGGAGATCCCATTCCTCTTTCCCTCTCGTGGGACACCCTGTCAAGGAAGGGAGAAGGGGGAACAGTAGCCAAGAGAAGTGGGAACTTGGACCTCAAATAAGGGCAGGGATTAAGTCAAGATTTAGAAGAAACATCCAGAAACCTTTTGTGGCGGTTATTCCAAAAGGATCAGCTATAAGGGAGCAGGAGGAGCCCTTGCTTTTCATATATCAGAAGAGCAGGTGAAACCCCCCAGGAGCTAGTCTTGGGAGCAGCCACTCCATTCATCAGCCACAGTAAGTGGCATGTCAGGGCAGTGGAGGACAGTGGATGCCATTCATTTGGTCCACAGGGAGGGGACTGGCTAGGAAATATAGATGCAGCTTGGAAACTGAGGCTGCTTACAGACAAGTGCTGGGTAAGTCTGCCCAAATGTGGGGCCCACTTTCTCTGGGATCTGGAGTTGGTCTCCTGAGGGCCCTCAGAGACAGGGCTCTGTAATGATGGGTGGCAGCAGGTTGGACCCTCAGGGCACTCTGTTGCAGGGACACCCTGGTTCTACCTGAACAAAGAAGGCCCCCTGCAACCCTCTGGCTGCACTAGCCATACCCAAATCTTAAGGACCATTTGAATGCTCAGAGGGTTGGGTGCAGATCAAATAGTGCCTGGACAGGGCCTGTCTCAGGCCATATCCACACAAGGCAGGACAAGGCAGGCACCAGTCAAGACAAACCCAACCAGCTCACTGGGGAGTGGGAAAATCATTCATAGAGCATAAAGTCTTCAAATGCTTCTTGCCAAGTCCAAAAAAGCCAGGACAGCACTCTGTGTTCACTATGGTACCCTAGTGTGCCTGGCACACAGTAGGCACTCAATAAAGACTTTCTGAATGTTAGGGCCCCAAGAACCTTACAGGAGATCTAGACCAGCTATTTCAGACCAGCTCTGGTGAGCTGGATTAGAACACCTCACCAGAGCCTGCAGGGCACAGCAACGCGTAAATGGGTCGAGTTGTTCTAACCTAGTTGGATTTCCCAGTATTTCCCCAACATATGGGCCCACAGAGCAGTTTCTCATCTCACCTGAGGAGCAGGGTTGAGAGTGCTGATCTAATGCAACTTCATCATACTACGAAAGATAAAATGGGGCCTCAGAGAAGGCAAGCAATTTGCCAAAAGTCACACAGCATGCTAGTGGGAGAGTTGGAACAACACTTAAGTTCCCCAACCCTTGGCTCGGTGTTTTTCTCACTGAAAGACTTTGATGGGCAGTGGCATAGGTATTTCCTCAGACAGTACAGGGTACAAATGTCTTTTGCATGATCTACAAAGCAAGGGCTGGTTTGACAAATTAAAAGAGATTAATCCAAATTAAACCAGACTGCAGGGGCAGCGTTTAACCTACTTGAGAACTTTTGGAGCTACTTCAGCTTCAATGCATGTACGGATTCGCCCAGGTTCTTATCTTTTCCTTGGAGCTAGTACCTTGGGTCCTCTGCTTAGCAATCCTGGTAGGCCATGCATCATCTCAATACCACTGAAGTTCTTTAAAAGTGTCTCTTGTCCAGATAGCCCCCCATAGCCCTTGCAACCAACGAGGATATTTTTCCTCTGGGCCTTCCCTGCCTGGCAGTGGAGCCGGAGGAGGGGGGAGGGGGTTGGAAATCAGCAATTTCCTTGCGCATTAAACTTGTCATAGAGTGCCAGTGGCTGCCACAGGACCAGGAGCTGGGGAGCTTACCTGGAGAAGGGGGCGACAGGCTGGCCACCTTGCTAGGTTTTTCAATTACTCCCTCCAAGAATCTCATAGCACTAGCTCCATACTGGGCAGAGACTAGGACACCTCAAACCCTGGCTGGTCGCTGTCTTTACACCGAGGGCTGATATGCAGGAGAGGAGGGGCCGGATTGCCCAGTCCACCCTGGTTATGTAGAGGAGGAAAGAGACCCAGAGGGCACATAACTTGCTCAGGGCCACACAGAGAACATGAGCAAATTCACGTTCACCAAGAGAGAAACATCTCAGCGGCAGAGAATCTGGGGCTGTCAGAGCAGTAGGAAGCCCCCCAGCTCCAGTGTACCCTGGAGCGGAAGTCGCTTGCCCAAACTGGTATCTCTTTAGGACCTGAGCCCAGACACTCTGACTTGCAACCTGACAATTTCTCCATTAGGGGTGGGCCAGGAAGTGGATGCCACCTCTCTCCATCTTTAGCCTGAAGCTGGGGTTACTGCCCGCATAGCTGCAGAGGGGCCTAGGTGGGGGAGGGGAGAGGTGTGCAGGAGGGGACAAAGTTCTATTCACACCTGGAATCCTTGAACAAGGCAACCTCGGAGGCATTGACTTTGAGCCAACTCCCCTGACTGGTCCCCTGCCCCACCTGGGATGGTGAGGGTCACAGTGTCAGAGACTGCCTGCCTAGGTTCCTCCCTAGAGCCAGTGGCAAAGCATGGGGCTTCATCCTAAGTCTTCAAAAGGGCTGCAGGGAACACTTCCTGGGGGACCCTGCAGCAAAGCAGGAGGCCTGAGCTAAGGGAGTGGGGTGAGAGGCTGTCTTTTTTCCCTTCCCACCTAGGAGGCATTCCCTAGACCCCTGTTCCAGCTGCCCAGCCCTTGCAGACATTCCTTGAATCTTAACGAAACTGGGAGTGGCACCAGAGCCCACAGGATCCCTACCGGGTTGTTTGATAAGTTGAGCTCTCAAGGTCTCCCCAAAGAGAAGCTTCACACCAGGGCCAGGGAACCACTCTTGGGAGAGCAATTTGGTAAAAAGAGGGCAAGGCCTTGGAGAGAGAGGGGATTATGGGGTGCACAGACTCAGCCTTGAGCCCAAGCTGGCTGGTTCCTTAGTGCGGTGCAGACCCACCTCCAGGGGAGTCTGCCCAGGCAGAGGATACTGGGCAGTGTGGCACCAGCTGTGAAAGTATCTGAGGCCAGAGCACCTCAGCCCCCATGTGGGTGCACAAGGTGGGCGGGAGGAAGGGAAGCCCCCTGTGGCTCCTGCTCTGAAGTTTCAAGATTCTTTGATATCACCATACAAGTCACACCTCTCAGCCAGGGATGATGAGTCCCTGCAGCACAAACTTCTCCCCCCCAGTATGGTCAGCGCGGCCCCATCCTGGGATACGGTGACCAGGGAGAGGCCTCTCTTGCCCCTCAGTACAAGGGGTAGCGTTTGCTTTACGCAATCCTGAAAAGTGTGTAAATTACTTATGGTGTTGTCTGGTTTCTTCACTGATATCTGTGACCATGTCTATTCTTTTGGGACTGTTTTTGTACAGATTGTCACTTTAATCTAATACTTCAGCTTTCAGGGTGTCTCTCGGGGCCTGTCTACCACATGGGTGACTCTTTTGTAAAGTTTTAGGAAAGATAGTTCTCCAAATGCTTTTAAGTGGGATTTGGGGGTCCCAGACTGTCACCATGGAGACAGGAGCCATGGGTTACCACAGTATGACAGTCTGGGTGGTCTCTATCAGCCTAGCTTCGAGCTTTTCTCATCCACCTTTTTATTTCGGGGGCACTGCTGTTTCTACTTTGTGCCCACATGATCTACCTCCAGAGAGAACTCAAGATAAATTCTATCTTCTCTCCCATCTCCCAGTAGCAGGAGGCCTGGGACTGCCTGAATGTCTGGGCAGAAAGGATCCTTTGAACCATTTGAGATCTAGTCCAACTGCCTCATCTTACCTTCTTATTTTATAGAGGAGGAAACTGAGGGCCAGAGGGGGCAGGGACTGGCCTAAAGTTGCACAGCCAGGTGGTAGCAAAGTTGGGTTGAACTCAAGCCTCCTGACTATCAGTCCAGGGCTCTTTCTAGCAACTAATATATTGGCTACAGCTTCAAAAGTTCTCCCCACCAGATCAAAATTGCCCCTGCTTGTCCCTCTCCTTCCCTGCCCCCTCTAACTCCCCTTCCCCCTACTACACATAATTTGGGTTATAGCAAAGCATATTGAACTCGAGGTTCTCATCCCAGTGCCGCAGGAGCACGAACAGCTGGCGGGCAGCAGCCTTGAGGATGCCCTGAGTGTGGCCCTCGGGTACCTCCTGCTGCTCCAGCCATGTGTTGGCTTTGGCCGCCACCAACTCCCACTCGGTGAAGTAGGAAGCCGAGTTGTGCTCCAGCCATGCCAGCCCCACCACCGTGGCCCACAGCTTCCCCATGTGCTCCACCACTACCATCTGCAATGGGACTGGCTCGGCCTCAGCTGGGGGCTCCAAGGAGACATCGTCACAGGAGGGGTGCTGAGGGCTGGTGCACATCTGGGGACTGGAGGTCTTAGACCCAGACTGGCGAGCAGTGATGGACACTCGGTGGCAGGTGAAGGGCGACATCCACTTGAGCTTCTCCATGGGGATGCGGATGGCCTCACAGAAGGCTTGGTTGAACAGGAAGGCTCCGGAGGCCAGCTGCAGAGACACCTGTGTGTGGGGAAGCCCCTCAGTGGGCCTCAAACATGTTAGCCCTCGGGCCTCAGGCCACGCGCAAGTCTGGATTCACACTGCCCGCTCCATCCTGCCTGCCTGGGGGATTTGGGGTTACCCAGGCCAACTGAGCATACCTGTCTTTGCCCCACAGGCACTTCAAACAGACCATTCTCCAAGCCCAAGTCAACGGCTTCACTCCAAACCTGCCTCTCGTCCTGGGAGGGTGGCCTGGCTCCACTCTCCTCTCCCCTCTGTCCTCCCACCAGTTTCCAAGTCCCAACAGGTCTGCTTTCTAAATCACTCTGCAGGTGCCCAGGGTCTAGCACCTGGCCAACCCCCACCTTTCCTCTTCCCCCTCTCTCTTCCACCTGACTCCTATCTGCCCTGCATCTGGAGGGGTCTCTATAAGGCAAGGATCGTGCACTTTGGGGAGGCTCATGGCTTCAATGTTTCTTAGAGAAAGTCCAAAATATGATTAATAAAGACCAACGCAACCTAGCCCAGATTTGTCCTTGGCTCTTATCCCTCAAAATCCATTCTCCAGCTGCCCTGCCCTCTCTCCTGCATAACGCCTCATCCTTTGGTCCCTGGTGTGCCCATTACCTTCTTCAAGAAGTTATGCTTGATGCCACCCTGACTCTAGTTCAAGCCTAGGTCAGGTGTCCACCCCCTGGACTCCTCCACTGAGCCAGACCTCTCCTATCATTGCACCCAAGGATTAGAATCCCCTGGCTCCTTGTCTGGGTCCCATTAGACACTCAGCATCATAGATATGGGGACTCTATTTGTCTAGTTCAAGGTTGTCTCCCCCTGACACGGAAATGCTTGCTGAGTGAATATAGGTAGTGTCCTGCTGCCCTGGATATTTGGAAATTCAGAATGACATTATGTCCTTGGGTGTAGAGGGACAGGAGATGTACAGTGAAACTCAAACTGTGTCCCTCCTTCGAACACCCTTTGTTCCCCAAGACCTGAGGGGCCCCAGATGTGGCCGGACCAGTCAGTCTCTTTTTCTCCTTGCTCCAGACCTTCTTGCTGTGCCTCGGCACACGGTGCTATCTGCAGACCCACTTGCTAAACACAGTGCGTGTCCCTGAGGTGTTAATTTTACTCACTTGTGAGTCATTTCAAAGCTTATTTTTATATACTGAAAAACAGACACACATAGATGGTGGAGTAGAAAGCAAAATTCCCATAAATTTTTAAGGTGAAGACAGCAAATTGTAAGGAATTTTTGAGATGCTGGTGGGGTTTCTAGCAAAATCCCTAGACCCTTGGCCATGCAAACTCCCTTTGTCTTGGGTAGGCAGCTCTAGGGAGCTCCAGGACTGAGGGGAGAGGAGACAGGTTTGAGGAAGTAGAGGGGTGGGTGGGATTCCAGAGAGGCCCAGCCGCTCAGTGGGGTGGAAGTGGGGCTAAGTCTAGGGTCAGAGCACTCACCAGTGGTACATAGTCCAAGCTCTCAAAGCTCTGGCTCCCAGGGGTAGAGGTGGGGGTGGAGGTGGAGGTGGAGGTCGAAGTCGAAGTTGAGGTCAAGGTCAAGGTTGAGGTCGGAGTCGGTTCTGGGGCCTTGATCAGTGGCTTGCTCAGGAAGCCCTTGGTGGCTCGTGTCAGCAGCCTGGTCTTGTTGAGCTTCAGCCTGTGTAGGTGGGAGTGGGATGTCCCTGGTCATTCCACCTCCCAGTGCCCACTCAGAAACCTCTGCAAGTCAGGACCAGCGGGCGTCTAACAGACAGCCTCCTCCAGAGGTCTCATTTGACAGCAGTGGGAATGGAGTTCTGCAGAGGGGAGCAGGCTCCTGCCCCAAGTCCCTCAGTGAATTAACAGGAGCCAAGCTGGGAGCAGGTTGGCATTCTTTTTTTTTTTATTTTTTTTTTTTGAGACAGCGTCTCATTATGTCACCCTCGGTAGAGTGCTGTGGCGTCATAGCTCACAGCAACCTCAAACTCTTGGGCTCAAGTGATTCTCTTTCCTCAGCCTCCCAAGTAGCTGGGACTATAGGCACCCACTATAATGTCTGGCTATTTTGTTGTTGTTGTCATTGTTGTTTAGCAGGCCCAGGCCGTGTTCGAACTCACCAGACCCTGTGCATGTGGCTGGTGCCCTAACTACTGAGCTATGGGCGTCAAGCCCAGCAGGTTGGCATTCGTTCATGCCCCTCTTTTGATAAGGCACTCTAGCCCAGCCCAGTGGCCGGAGAGTGGTGTGCCAGCCTTCCGGGGCTCTGCATGTGAACAGGTACCAGGGAAGTGTGGTGAACTACAGTAGAAAGATTTTAGGCAGTGTGGGACCTGGCAGACAGCAGTAGCTCTGGGTAAAGGGGCTTACTTAGCATCTGTCTAAATGTCAGTCTGGACCTGCCTTTGGCCTTCCAACCCAGGACCACCCCCAGGGGAATGAGTGTGCCCTCATGGCAGATCCCACTTACTTGGATGCAACAAGAGTCTCTGAGGACTTCACAGGAGAAAGGGGATTGGGGGCCAGACTGCACAGGGAACCTGGAAAGCCACAGAATGACAGAGCTGAGGTTTGACAGATGACCCAGTCCACTGTCTCACTGTCCCACTGAAGAAGAGGCCCAGAGAGGGGCAGGGGCTTGACCATAGCCCTATGTCCCTAGAGAGCCAAGCCAACCCTTAGGTTGCAGGGCTGTTTCCGTCTCAGCTGGCATGGCTGAAGTGGGGGTACATGCGTCTACGTGTAAAGCACCAGTCTCCAAACTTCCTTGGCAGGTGGCCCCTGGCATCTTCTGGAAAATTACTTGTGTGATTGGCATGGAGGCAGGGACAGCTACAGCTCACATCAACCCTCCTCATTCCCAAATGGGGACATCGAGTCAGCCTCCCTAGCACATTGCTGGAGGACTCCTGGCAGAGTGGGGGATAAAGTGACCCCTTAGCTGGCATTGGGAGGCCTGACTCCAGGCCCAACCCTCTCACTGACATACTGTGTAACCTTGAGTAAGTCACCTCACCTATTTCAACCTAGTTTCCTCATCTTCATTTATCTTATTTTTTAAAGGATTGTTTTGTTAGGCTCTTCTGTTGCCTGGTCTATATAGCACTGTAGTGTCATCACAGCTCATTGCAACCTCCAGCTCCCAGGCTCAAATGATCCTCCTGCCTCAGTCTCCTGAGTAGCTGGGACTATAGGCATGTGCCACGATGCCAGGGTAATTATTCTATTTTATTTTTTGTAGAGATGGGGGTCTCACTATGTTGCCCAGGCCAGCCTCTAATTCCAGGCCTCAAGTGATCCTCCAGCCTGAGCTTCCCCAAATACCTCAACTTTATATTGGGCATAATGCTATTCATCCCACATAGGGCTGTCGTAAGGAACTGACAAAGGCCTGAGGACACACTCTTGACCATAAGGCCAATCGCGGCCACCACCTTGATTAAGCAAAGAGGCAGCACCCACTGCCCACTCACCTTTGGGAATAGTGTGCTTCTCCCGGCTGAGGGACATGGCCTCCTTGAAGGGCACAGTGGAGCTCATCTCCACATCTAGGACAGAGGGGCCAGTGAGCATGACCTCTCCCATCCTCCCTTCCTCATCTCCCATCTCCCAAGGACAGTGCTGGTCTAATTCGCAGTGCGTGGGGTGTTGGCTTGGGTAGCAAAGCCAGGGTTTCCAACCCTGCTAGGACAGGCCTTCATCCCCCGTAGATGTAACTAACCATCGTCCCACCACGAGATCAGACATGCCTGGGTTCTAATCCTGATCCCCGCCTGACCAGTGTTGGGCCTTGGCCTTCATTAATTTTGGTTGCAAATTGGGGATAATGGTACCTATCTCACAGCGTTCTTGTAAGGATTAAATTCAAGCCCTGCGATGCAGGAGAGCAGGGAGGCAGGTGCATCAGTCAGGGTCCTGAGGGTAGGAGTCAAGGGTCAGGACAGGAGGGCATCTCCTCACCAGGTCTCTGCCACACTGGGGAGGGGCTCATGCCAGCTCTCTAGGAGGGACCAGATAGAGCACTGACTTTTCAGAGGGCTCTGAGCCTTTGGTTACCCCAGCTGTAAAATGGGGATAATAATCACACATAATCTCTGTTCAAAACTCAAAACCAAGGCGATTATTTTTATGACTACCCTTTCAAGGGCTAGAGAGTGATGGGTCAGCCCAAATTCTAGAAAAAGCGTTATGTGCAAATATGTTCAGCAAGGCCTCTGTCTCCTGCCATGAGACTGTTAGCTTTGGGAGGGCCAGGATGGGGACCCACTCGTTGCCCCAGCACCCAGCAGGAGAGTGAGCTAGGGACTGAATGACTGAGGCAACCATGAGGCTAATAGGATGGGGGGGCTAAGCTCATGGACTCTGGGACAAACGCCCTCTGGGTTCAAACCTTGGCTCTACATGTATCATCTGTGTGACTTTGAGCGAGTCACTAAACCTCTCTGAGTTCCCTCATCTCTTAATGGGGGAAAATAAAAGGAACTGTCTCAAGATGGGGAGCCACGGATAATTAGAACAGCGCCCAGCATATGGAACACTCTCAGTGTGAGCCACTGTCGTCCTCGGGGAGGGATAAGCTTGGGGCCGAATGAGAAGTTAGAAGTCAGAGACACCGGCAGGCATCAGAGGACAAATGAAAGGAAGGGATTTGTGATGTGACGGAAGCTGTGTGCCACCAGGAGCTAAGCCTCAGGAACAGGAAAGGCTAGACTGGGAATTTCCTGTGGACCGGAAGCTCAGCTTGGCTCACGGGTAGAGCTGGTTCCCCTGGGTTCTGGAAGCCAAAGGGATCAAGAAGTTGGCAGAATCCTTAATTCTGAAGTGCTCTTCTGGTTCTTCACCCCCTCACAGGGTGTTTCTGTTTTTTAACCCATCAATGTCTGTGAGCACATTCTAGTCCCTTGGTTAAAAATTTCCTCTGGTCTGGGTAGCTGGACTGGTGGCCTGGCAGGACTTCTGATGTCTTCTCCATGCACAGGAGAAGGCGGGAGACCCTCACTGTGCATGTCAGGGCACCAGGGAGGGGGTTAGGACTAGTGCAGCAGTTAGACTATCTTTAGAGACAGGTAGACACACATCTATGCCGGACACAGAGGGTGAAGGCCATCCTGTGAATGAGTGCAAGGTCAGGCTCTCTGAGGAGCAAGCTTCAGGCACCATCAAGTCAGGTGCAGGCCCAAAGGAAGCTGTTCGAAATCCTGAGAGAAACAGATGGTGGCACCAAACAGATGGGGCTGCCCCCTTTGCTCTTCGACTTTTTCCTTAATAGGTTTCCTGGCAGTTGGTGCCTGGGAGGACTCCTGAGGCTGGAGGCAGGGGACAGCCACTAAGGTCAGGGCACCTTGAAAGGGGAGAGGTGGGGCAGGGGGCAGGCGGGGAGTCAGTGCAGCTCTCCTACACAGAGAAAGCTGTGTCTGTGGTGGCATGACCACTTGTCCTGAGCCCCCCTTCTGAAGGCCTGGCTTTGCCCTGGCCTCGCCTCTGGGGCCTTGGCCATGAACGTGCAACAACTCCGGCGGCCCAGGCTTTTGGACATGCTCTTATTTAGAGGCAGCTCTTACTTAGGATCTGAAATTTGCCTTCTCTGGCTGCTGGGTCTTCTCTGAATGTGGTCAGCGACCGTCCGAAGCCTGCAGAGGCGTCCCTCCACTGTTGGGTCAGGACCCGGGAACTGATCATCCGCATTGTCACACCTTCACAGAGCACAAGGAGCAGATGCGGTTAGGGACAAATGTCCCGGTCCTTTGCCTCTTCCCCAGGCTGGCAGGATGGATTCTGCCTTCTGTCTTCCCAAAGGACAGGAAGGCATTTCCCCAAGGCAGAAAGGTATTGGACAAGGTGAGACCACGAGCTTTAGCGTCAGAATGATATGGGTTTGCGCCCAAGCCCCATCTCTTACCAGGTAGCTGGGATGCTAACCACGCTGGGCCATAATTTCCTTATCTGGAGAATGGGATAGTAATCCCTCCCTTGCTAGGTAGGCACTACTGCTGAGATAAATATCAGGAAGCAGCCATGTTTTCTAGTTAGTTAAAGGTTGGTTTTCTCAGAAACGTGCCATTCTCCCCTCTATTCACTATCTCGGAAATCCATGTCCCAGGCCCCCTCCTGTAGGGCAGGCCCCTGAAGTCCTGGGATATCGTCAACAGGTGGTAGATGGAAGAAGGATGAAGTTACACACGCTAAAGTATGTTTTAGGGAGCCCCACCTTTGGAGAACACTAGTTTTTAAGTTATTCTTTAAAAAAAATAAAGTTCTTTTGGGGGTGGTGCCTGTGGCTCAAAGGAGTAGGGTGCTGGCCCCATATACCAGAGGTGGCGGGTTCAAACCTGACCCTGGCCAAAAACTGCAAATAAAATAAAAAAGTTCTCTTGGAAGACAAGTTTTCTAGAGTTTGCATAGTCTATTCCCTGAGCATCTTAATATATATTAACATGCTAAAGGCTATGAGAAGTTCTGCAGTAAAGAAAGTTTTTCAATTTTATTTAATCCAGCAATTCCTAAATGCGTCTTCTGGCTATTCATAGGACATAAAACTGGGGTTATAGGTTCTTTTTTTTTTTTTTTTGAGAGAGAGTCTCTGTTTCCCAGAGTGCTATGACATCATCACAGATCACAGCATCTTCAAATTCTTGGGCCAAGTGATCCTTTTGCCTCAGCCTCCCAAGTAACTGGGACTATGAGGGCCTGGCACAATGCCCTGCTAGCTTTTAGAGACAGGGTTTCACTCTTGCTTAGGCTGGTCTCAAACTCTTGAGTTCAAGGAATCCACCCACCTCGGCCTCCCCGAGTGCTGGGATTACAGGCGTGAGCCACCACACCTGACCCTGGATTCTAGTTTCTTGGAACCCATTTGGGAAAGCTCAGACCTAGATCTCAGGGGGCTCTGGGACTTGGGTTCAGATAAGGGCCAGGTCCTTGACTTCCTCGGCTGTGGCTGTAGTTGCTAGCAGGGTGGTCAGAAGTAGGTGGGAGTTGAGAGGGAGGGTCGTCCTAGCAATGCAAAGAATGAGACTGCTCAGTGAAGCAGTGGATTTGGGAGGGACGGGGTCTGCTACACTGCCTGAAATGACAGCAATTGGGGTGGTGGTGAAATGGGAAGTTGATCATTTGGTACCACAGATAAGAAAAGGCTGACAAGAGGAATGAGGAAGGGCTCATTTTATTCCCAAACACAATTCTTCCTGGAGGTCTGCTAAAATATAAAAAAGGGACTGCAAGGGACAGAAAAATGTAACTCAGAAACAAAAAGCATAAATAGTTCATAGCCATGAACTACACAAATTAATTAAAGAAGTGGTCCAAGAGAGATTCTTTTCTCACCTATCAGACGGGCAGAGTTTAGAAAGATAAACAACATTCAGTTTCAGAGAAGATGGACATTGGAATAGCGTTTGGGGCTGGCAGGGATGGTTTGGTAACATACATCACCATGTTATATATGCATACCCTGGTATTGCAGTTCTACTTCTAAGAGTTAGTTAATCCTGAGGAGCTAACCAGACAGATGCCCAAAGATGTTCTTAGCAGTATCATTTACAAGAACCCAGTGGGGAGTGCACAAAATGTTTAGATAGGTAAAAAGGTCATGATACATCTTAAGGAGCAGCAGGGATGAGCAGGGGAGAACTCATTGGAGCCAGGACACTGGAATTCAAAGCCTGGCTCTGCCCCTCACTGCTACATGACCTAATGAAAGTCACTTAACCCTCCTCTGCCGCTGTTTACCATTTGTAAAATAGGAGTAATTGTTGTATTTACTTTGCAGATCTGTTCTGAGGATTAATTGACTTAAAGTATATATAAGGTGTTTTGGAACTCTGTCTCAATCTCCGTGATGATGATGATGGCTGTTAAAATGAGTATGCAGATTCACCCTCATGGATAGATGCTCTCTACACCCATATTCTGTAAAATATACCACGTATTGGTATGATCCAATTCATGTAAAATGGTCTCCCTTTTGATTTCTCTGCACATACATATCTGTAGAGAGAAGTCTGGAAGAATGGTCATGCCAAGGAGGTAACTAGTACCCATCCTGGATGATTGTCAGTGCCAGTTGTTTCATTTATTCTGCATCTTTCTATATTTTGGAATTTTCTACAATAAACACAGATCATTGTCCCAACTGGAGAAATTCAATAAAGACATTTTCACGTGGCAGGAAGAAGGGAGTGGGATGATTTCACAGCTTCTGCAGAGCAGAGGCTCCCACCACATGGTAACCAGACCACCTACTGGGGGCCCTTCTGTTTCTAGGCCCTGCCTTGCACCCTTCTTGCAGGTGTGTGGTCCTTCGTATCTCAGCCCCCTCCCTTAGTCCAGGAGGCTGCTTGGCACTCAGGAGTGCCCCAGCCACCTGCCTGCCTTACCGGAGTTGGGGTACTCCACCACGGTGGGCAGGTATCGGCTCTTGCTCAGGTCCACAGGCACAAAGGCTGTGTATTTGCTGATGACATTGCAGGCTTTGCTGGTGTGCACAGCGTTCACTTGGTAACGGCGGTTGGATCCTGTGGAGGGAGAAGCTGGGGTCACTGTTTGGATTCTGAAAGTCTTTTTTGGCATAGAAGCTCTGGAAGCTTACAGGAAGACTCAACCAGTGGCGCTCATCTTTGTGATTAAATAAGCCCTTAAAAATCAAGGGGTTGCTAGCTTGCTAATTAAAGACTTAAAAAAAAAACCCACCATCATTTCACAAAACAAAGGATATTTTAATGCAAAAAAATAAGGCATTATCTCAGAATAAAAGACAGCTACTTCCCTTAAATAACTATAGTGTTATTTTTACAAAAATCAACCCACTCTGTTGTCTGTATTTTTTATTTTAATTTTGCAGCTGTCTAATGGGAACATTGCCCTAGGACTTTGTAGGTCTCCTGCCTGGTGGGTGAGGACCACTGTCTGACTCATTTAACTACTGAGAAGACAGAAAATCAGAGAGGGAAAGTGGCAAGCACAGGGTCACAAGGAGGGTCAGTGACAGGCCTGAGATCAGCAATCAAGATGGCCTGATCTCAAAACCACGCCCTTTCCACTGAACAGGTGAGTGGTCTGGGTGGCTTGCTGCCTCCAGAGGGCTGGGTGAAGAGCCAGAGATCAAGGACCAACAAGTGCTTTGTAAACTGTAAGGTGAGGACCTCACAGGAAGAACCAAAGTAACCTGTACAATCCAAAAATGCAAACAGAACATAAACAACATAATATTATTATATAAATAAAGCAAAAGCCTATAATGAAGAAACCATATAACCATTCTCTATTCATATCCTGTTCTCAGAGCTGCTCCACCAAGATTCCACTTTCTCAGTGAAGTTTGCCCCAATTCCTGGACTAAATTAGCTCCCCCACCATCTCTGTTATACAATCTCTTGGATCCCTGTATTTCTTTTTAACAGCACTAAGGACAAATGCGCTCAATTAATTATTTGTGCAATTGATTAATGCTGGCTTCCCTGCGAGTCTATGTCAAGCCCTCATAGGTAAGGAAGGCCAGGGATAGCTCTGTTCAGTGGGACATCTGTGAGGTCCAGCGCAACTCTCCGCTGATCCCAATAAGTAGAAGACACTGATGAGTGGGGGGACAGATTGGAGGGTTCCCTGCAGAAAAGTGTGGGCTGTCTCCAGAGCACTATAGGGGGTGCTACAGGGTGGGTAGCACTGGAAAGTGAGTGTGGTAGTGGGCCGTGCCGGGGTTATGGGGAGATGGAGGGGACTGGAGCCAGGGGAGAGGTCGGAGTAGGGAATGAGCCGGGGCACTGAGCTGAACGGGCAGGGGGCGGGTCTAGGGGAAACGGGCGTGTCGGGGGCGTGGCTATGGGGAGAGGGCGTCCCTAGGCAGCCCCACTGAAGGATGCAGGTTGTGGGCTCCTGGAGCTTACCCTGTTCGATGTCACACTCGCGTTCTGCCAGTTGCTCGAAATCGCGGATGATGGCGCGGGCCGCCAAATGGTGGAAGGTCTCGTTCCACAGGTCAGCCTCCCGCCGTTCCGGGCCGGGGGGCCTCAGCTCAAAGCTCACCTCCCACTGCACCCGATGGCTGTCACGCAGGCCTTTGACCAGAGCCTTGCCCACCACCGGGTTTGGGGTGGTGGGCTCCTCAGCCTCCGCCAAGGGCTCCCAGTCCGAGGACGTCTCCGAGTCAAAGGTGGAGGGGTGATGGGACAGCTCTGCGGAGGGGAGGGGCAAGAGGACCAGGCACTGATCTGGGGGAATGGCCCTGAAAGATGGCCAATCCCACAGGGACATCCTCTCTCCCCAGAGAACAGACACCCCTAACAGGGAACAGACATCTTCTGCCTCCCCAGGGAACAAACAACTTTCCTAGGACGGTAGGGGTGGCATGAGTTTGTCCCTAAGAGAGGGGCAGATCCACCTCTCAGGAAGCCAGTACCTAATGCAGCCACATAGGGTGGAGCTGTAACATCACAGGCCACCCAAGGGATGGGATGACTGGGGAAGCATGGGATAGGTGAAATCCTCGGGCAAGTGTGGGCCACGGCAGACCCCCAAGGGCATAGACACAGGCATTTACCTCTGGGCCTATCATCTGAAGTTGGCCACACTCAAGGATTCCTCCCTGTCCCCAGTCAGATCCTGGACCCTGAAGTAACTTACCTGGGTCCCTGAGGCTACGGTTGTCAGAGGCAGGCTTCAGGCTGGACCCAGAATCCACATCCCTCATGGAGCTCCAGGCTGGGGGCTCCTGACCCAAGGACAGGCAAGGCTGGCAGCTTTGGGGCAGCAAAGAGGGCCTTCGGGCTCCTGGGCCATGTAGTTTGGGGCCTTGGCTCAGGTCTTGGCCACTGTTCAGCAAGGGCTGGGGATGAAGAGGAAGAGGAGGAGGCAGACAGACCCTTAGTGGCTGGACACTCTTTCCTCCTGCCTCCTGTCACGGTTCTTTCCCTGGGCACCATAACTCTTCCTGGGCACTGCCTCTTCAGTACCCAGGGGCACATGACCTAGTCTCCATTACCAATGAGAAACAAGAACAATCCCAAGTTAAGCATAAACTCCAAACCACAGAAAACCGTGGAAAAATCACACACCATGGATGATTCTAAATCTACTTTTTTTCTTGCCATAAAGTTTAAAACTTTTCCTGTGTGTGGTTAAAATTATCAACCTTTTTCCTTATGTCTTTCCATATGCCGTGCTTAAAAGGTCTTTTTCTTGCAAAAAATAGTCTAGCATTTTTCTGATTTCCTTTTTGTTTGTGTGTTTAAATCTTCGGTTCACATGAAATTTATGTTGGTGTAAGGAGATAGGAATGAGCTTTTCCTTGATTTTCCAAATGGTACAAATCTCAACACCATGTACTGAATGCAGCTTATTCATGGAGTCCCGGCAGTTTATCAGTTTCCTGCTTCTAGCCCAACAAAGCTTTCAGGCCCATTTGGTTTTATTTATGGACTTCCTGTTTTGTTTTGTTGATTTTATCTGTTCTTGTGCTGGTACAGACAGACATCAAAAGGCAAGGGACAAACAAAAAAATATATTTGCAACATGCCTGACAAGAACCATTTAAAAAAAAAATGCTTTTGTAAGTCATGGGGGGCAAAAGATTCACTTCCTAGGACAATGGGTCAAGGCATCTGCAGGCAGTTTATGGCAAAAGTGTCCAATAAACCCCTGGAAAAATGCTCAGCCTCACGAAAAATTTGAGCAATGTAAATTAAAGCAAGTTATAATTTTTTTTTGATTTTGCAGACTGCTAACTATTTAAAAGTCTGATGATACCCAGTGTGCTCAATGGGGAGACAGAGTTACCTGTGGATTGTGAGCGGGCATGTAAAACTGGCATAATTTGGGGGAGGATAATTTAGCAGTGTGCTATCTAGAGACAATAAAAATTCACAGGGAGATGGGTCAATAAAAATTTGACCCTGCAATTCCACTCTTAGGAATTCAATCCTGTGGAAATAGGCAAAGGTGCAAATGTCTATGTGCAAGTACTATGTTTATTTTGCAATATTATTTGTAAAGATTTGGAAACTATCTAAATATCTATCGGTAGAGGTTGACAAATAACCTCCACACAGTGGAACACCACACAACCCCGAAAAAGGGTAGATTTCTTCATATCAAAATGGGAAGATGTCCCAGATAAAGCTTATTTTTCTTTTTTCTTTTTAGGTTATTTTAATTTCAATTTAATGTAACTTTTTTTTGAGACAGAGTCTCACTTTGTCACCCTGGGTAGAGTGCCCTGGCATCATACCTCCCAGCAACCTCAGATTCTTAGGCTTAAGTGATCCTTTGGCCTCAGCCTCCCGAGTAGCTGGGACTATAGGCGCTCGCCACAATGTCAGGCAATTTTTAGAGACGGGGTCTCGCTTTTGCTCAGGTTGGTCTGGAACTCCTGAGCTCAAGCAATTCACGGGCCTCAGCCTCCTAGAGTGCTAGGATTACAGGTGTGAGCCACTGAGCCTGGTCTAAAATTTATTTATAAAAAGTAAATCGTGGGCAGCGCCTGTGGCTCAAAGGAGTAGGGCGCCAGCCCCATATGCCAGAGGTGGTGAGTTCAAACCCAGCCATGGCCAAAAACTGCAAAAAAAAAAAAAAGTAAATCGCGACTGTTCTCTATCGTAATTGTGGTAATTAGATGACTGTATGCATTTGTCAAATCTCATAGAACTATCCAACAAAAAGTAATTTTGTTGTATATAAAAAAGTGAATTAAAAAGACATTTGAAAAGTAAGTTGGAGAGCAGTTTGTGTATGTGATTATTAAAATATATCCCTGTGTTGTGTAGATGTATGCATTTGTGTGTGCATGTGGTCTTTCTGGAAGGGAATACTCAAAACCAAGTGGATCTCGGCATAGGGGAGGAGGACTTTTCTTTGTACTTTATACCAGACTGAACCCTTGTAGGCTTTTCTTTCAATCTCTTGGGTAGTTATTACTTTTGTAATTGAAGACTATTAAGTTAGTTAAAAATGAATCTTAAGCCTCTGGGATCATGCACGCTCCCTGGTAGGGGGAGGAAATAAAGGAGCAAAGGCACTTACTGGTGTGCCAGAATTTTTTAGGCCAACAGTTAGCCATGAGGGCTTTGTCAACCCTATCAAGTATTTACTGGGAGGGGGTGACCGTGCCTCCCCCTCTCTCTAGATCAGAGGTCCTAGGGATGGTGCAATAGTGTGGGAGAAGAAGGGGACTGGTCACTCCAAGGATGGCCCCAGTGGAAGCTGGTACCCAGTCCTGGCTTCTGGGTCCCTAACACCAGCCCTCTCTTCCTACCTTGTCATTGCCACACCAGGTCAGAGAAACTGAAGTTGCTAAGGTTTCCATGGCAACAGATGAGTCTAAAATCCAGTGATCATATTACCCAGCCAGAGGCTACAAGAAATGTGTGTGTGTTTGCACGTGCACCTGCCTGGGCAAGTGTGTTAGGGAGAATCAGATTGAGGAAAAGCCAGGTAGGAGAGAGGGCAAGAAATGAGCAGAAAGGTGCCTGAAGAGCTAAGGGGAGGAGAGGAATAAAGGGGGCCAGCCTGCCTGGAGCTCCCACCCAAGAGAACTGCCACCAAAGGACACCTACTGTGTGCCAGGCACTTCATCTCTTACCAGCCATCCCCTGGAAGAGCCTCCACTTAGAGTTGACTTCCAGTAAATGTCTGTCATCTCTAAGCTATTCTACCCATTCTGCAGGTGAGGAAAGTTGGATGACATGTTTGAGGGGCAGAGTCAGCCTGACTGCGAGGCTAGTGCCTTCCAGTTGCACCAAGTGGTCCCTGCCAGGCACAGAGAAGGGCCCCCAGGGGAAGGTGGCAGTGGCCTTGCCCTTGGGGAGTGGGCGTGTGTGTTTGTGGAAGTGGGGATGGCAGGGGCTGGGTGGTTAGAATGGGAAAGGGCATATCCAGGGGAGAAGGAGAAGGTTGCTTTTATGCAACCACAGAGTTACAATGACAAACTGAGTTAGACTATTCTTAAGAAAATGGGTTAAACCATGTTTGGTTAGGACAGTGGTTCTCAGCCAGGTAATTCCCCTCCCCAACTTGGGGCCATTTGGCAGTGTCTGTGGACATCTGTTGTCATGACTGGAGGCAGTGGTGACACTAGCTTTGAGTGGGCAGAGAATTCCACCAAAGTTTCTACAATACACAGGACACCCCTTCCCCACAACCCCCATGCCAATAGTGCTGGGGTTAAGAGACCCTGGTCCAGCAGGACAGTGGGTGACATTCCTGTGGTGGCTTTCCGACTTTCAAATTCTCTCCACTCTGGGGAAGGATACAACCCCCAGGGTGTGTAGGGGGTGCAGTGTGATAGAGGAGGAAGCAAGGGCTTTGAAGGCAGAGGGTCTCGGGTTTCCCTTACTGGCTGTGTGACCCCTTGATAAGCCACTTTACCTCTCTGGCCTTCAATTTCCACCAAGTCAGGGTGGCTGGCCCCCAAACTCTCTCCTCTCTTGAGGTGCTATAAAATCAACTGAGGGAGTAGATGCTCCTTGTGAAGTGGGGAGTGCCATGTGCAGGGAACCAGTGAGCTCAGTGCCAAGTGGGTGTCATGATTAGGAAGACGTCCTTGGGGGGTGAGGTGGATGAAGGTCTAGAGAAGTAATAGAGGAAGAGGTCCACGTGGTCGTGTGAATTGTGGAGGCCCCATCCTGTGGTTGAAGCAGGAGATGCAGTTCTCCCCAATCCGTGGCCTTCCCCAGCTACCCCCGCTCCCCAACTGCCCTGCTTGGGTACCTGCAAATCAATGTGCCCCCTCTGGGCATCCAGGCTGGTCTGGTTGGTGAGGTCCTGCAGCCTGGCTTTCCGCAGTGGGTACCTCCTGGCAGCTGCCGTGGGGTCGCTGGCTGTGGTGACCCTGGGGCAGGGCTTGTAGTTGGTGATCTGGTTGGTGCTGTATGCCCTCCGTCGCTGGGAGAGGTCCAGATCTGGACAAGGGGTAGTGACAGGGAAGCTATGAGGGTGGGACAGCAGGGAAAGAGAGGGGCTTGCATACATCTTTCCTGCTTGGAAGCTTCTTAGGCTCACCACTGCTTGTCTGCCAAAATACACACAGGTGCCTCACCAGGCAGCCAAAGCCTTGCCTGACATGGCCCCAATCTATCTTCTAAGATACTCCTCCTTCTGCTTTTTAATGAACAATGTACCCCAAACACATGAGATGAGCAACAGTGGTATCTTTGCACCACTGCTCAGGCAGTTTCTGGACCCTCCTGCCTATTCCCATGTCTAAGAACCCATCTCCTTGTTAAGTCAACGTTAATGTCCACTAGTGTACTTGTCTCTCCCGGGATTCTCACAGTTTGTTGCATTTTCCAGTAGCCCCTGTCACTCTGCTTTCTATCAGAGTTAGAGCCAGTCATCTCTCTCTCAGTAGATGGTGAGCTCCTTAAGGGTGGGCAACATGTTTGAGTCATCTTTGCTTTCCACGTTGTGTGCTCTGGCCCTAAACTTAGTAGGGAATCACTAAGTACCCTTCGAATGGAAACTGACACCATAAAGAGGCTCTGTAGTCAGATAGGTCGAAGCTTTTATCTGTGCTCTACCTCTTTCGAGCTCTGTGAGCTTAGCTGAGTTCCTTAGCTCCCCAAGTCTCAGTTTCCTCATCTGTGAAATGGGTATAATAGTACCCAGCTCTGCAGCTGTTAACTAGTTAGTGAGATGGTCCATCATCAACCAGGATTGGTGATGGAGTATCTGCTGATTGATTGGGCACCTTTGGCCTGCCGCAGGTGGAAGGGTGCTCCCAAGCTCTTGGTGCAGTCTCCACTGTCCAGCACGGGTCCCTCCTCCGGAGAGTGGTAGAAGACGGAGCTGCTGGACTCCTGAGAGTGAGAGTGCAGCAGGCTGTACCTTCGCCTCTTGTCCTGGAGGGAGGGAGAGAAAAGAGGTTAGATGTCAGGAAGGACTGGACAGGGCAGCAAGGTCTGAGAACAGGGGCAGTGGAGGTTCCATCTCAGAAGAACTTGCAAGATAGAAAAGCTATCTGATTGCTTTGGGAATTTTAGGAAACTTCCTTCTTTTCTTTTCTTTTTTTTTCTTTTGAGACTGTGTCTCACTCTGTCACCCTGGGTAGAGGGCTGTGCTGTCATAGCTCACAGCAACCTCAAACTCTTGGGCTTGAGCAAACCTCTTGCCTCAGCCTCCTGAGTAGCTGGGACTACAGGTGTCTGCCACTACAGTAAAAAATAGTAAAATAGTAAAAAATAGTTTTTCTATTTTTAGTAGAGACAGGGTCTCACTCTTGCTCAGGCTGTCCTCAAACTCCTGAGCTCAAGCAATCCACCTGCCTCATCCTCCCAGAGTGTTGAGATTATAGGTGTGAGCCACCATGCTCGGATGAAACTTCCTTTCAGGAAGATAATGAATGGAATGAACTTTTCATGTCACTTATGATGTTTATATTTTTAATAATTGACCTTATTC